GCGGAGGTTACAAAGAAGAAGTAGTACAGGTTGCTCGTTGCTCGGTGAGCTGGAGGTTTTCGCCTTATTTACAGGCCGTTTTTTCCTCAGTGGGCTGGGGACGAGGTCATGCATGTGTGCGAAAAACTATGAATTATTAAGTGCACAAGCGATTGCGTATCGTTATGAAACAAGTTGGCTTGTAAAAATTGCTTTAGACACGGCACATGTACACATGGATGTTTTGATTCAAAGATCCCTAGGAGTGATATAAATTACAACATCCTAATGGAGGCTGGAAAACCTGGAATAGCCTTATAGCAGCAACTCTCCACACACATGCACACATGTGTGCTGTTGTGTCAGAGTCCATTGTAGGTCGTCTGTCCTGATTCCTGTCCAAGTACTGCGATGATTGCTGCACGGAGCAGAGGGAGAGTGAGAATATGCAACACATTGTTGGCGAGCGTGTGCGATCAGTTCAATATTTCACGTGTGTTTTGTGCGTATTTAGAATAACGTAGAACATTGAGGTGTTTGTGCAGTGCCCGACAGAGCCGTCACATATAAATATAGAAAATTCCCGTGTTGAAAAGACTAGGTAGGCTCACTTCGCTCACCAATTATACACAGTAGCAGTGACGCCAATACCAAGCACACTAAAACAAATGCTTTGGTGAGAGTCACAATTTGCATGTGTGTGCCGTAACAATGTGCAAAATTTCATTTGCACGTTCGGTACACTGCTATCATCTGACATGCATATACCCCTTGACTCATACCGAAAAACTTTGATTTGAACAACAGGCTAAGGAGGTGATAAAAAGGCAATTAATGTGGCAGTTCATTTCATTTGCTCACCAAAATGCATCACACAAATGCAGTGCCTTTGTTCTAGTATCATACAATCAACCCCTGCCTGATGACAGGGACGCGCCCACCTTCCTTGTCCTCGTCAGAGAAAGTCCCCCGAGGGAAGTCGACGTCAATGGTGATGAAGAGACTGCCTCTCCGTGTGTTGTCGTCGTAGTTGGGCATTCCCTCACCCGGTTTTTGTATGATGGCTCCAGGCCACGTCACCTTCTCCCTGTGGAGAGTCACCTACAGCAGCAAGAGAGACAGAGAGACATGCAGCATGATGGTTTCACACACTGACACACACGACATGATGTTTCACACACTGACACACACGACATGATGGTTTCACACACTGACACACACGGCATGATTGTTTCACACACTGACACACACGGCATGATGGTTTCACACACTGACACACACGGCATGATGGTTTCACACACTGACACACACGGCATGATGGTTTCACACACTGACACACACGGCATGATGGTTTCACACACTGACACACACGGCATGATTGTTTCACACACTGACACACACGGCATGATGGTTTCACACACTGACACACACGGCATGATGTTTCACACACTGACACACACGGCATGATGGTTTCACACACTGACACAACGGCATGATGGTTTCACACACTGACACACACGGCATGATTGTTTCACACACTGACACACACGGCATGATTGTTTCACACACTGACACACACGGCATGATTGTTTCACACACTGACACACACGGCATGATGGTTTCACACACTGACACACATGGCATGATTGTTTCACACACTGACACACACGGCATGATTGTTTCACACACTGACACCACGCATGATGGGTTTCACACACTGACACACACGGCATGATGGTTTCACACACTGACACACACGGCATGATGGTTTCACACCCTGACACACACGGCATGATGGTTTCACACACTGACACACACGGCATGATTGTTTCACACACTGACACACACGGTCATGATTGTTTCACACACTGACACACAGGCTGATTGTTTCACACACTGACACACACGGCATGATGGTTTCACACCCTGACACACACGGCATGATTGTTTCACACACTGACACACACGGCATGATGGTTTCACACACTGACACACACGGCATGATTGTTTCACACACTGACACACACGGCATGATTGTTTCACACACTGACACACACGGCATGATTGTTTCACACACTGACACACACGGCATGATGGTTTCACACACTGACACACACGGCTATGTGGTTTCACACCCTGACACACACGGCATGATTGTTCTCACACACTGACACACACGGCATGATGGTTTCACACCTGACACACACGGCATGATGTGTTTCACACCACTGACACACACGGCATGATTGTTTCACACACTGACACACACGGCATGATGTTTCACACACTGACACACACGGCATGATTGTTTCAACCCACTGACACACACGGCATGATGTTTCACACACTGACACACACGGCATGATTGTTTCACACACTGACACACACGGCATGATGTTTCACACCTGACACACACGGCTGATGGTTTCACAATGACACACACGGCGTGATGGTTCACACCCTGACACAACGGCATGATGGTTTCACACCCTGACACACACGGCATGATTGTTTCACACACTGACACACACGGCGTGATGGTTTCACACACTGACACACACGGCATGGTACACAGACACACAGGGTGATGGTTTACTGTGACTGTGACTGAGGAATCCACTGCATCCACTTACTCGCATGCTTTTCTTCTAACTATGTACACATTGCGTCTTGGGTACTATATACACACTGTAAACCCCACCTCTCCTCATCACTGTATGTACAATGTCATAACTCACCACATGTCCGTCGAGGTGAGAGATGTCAACGGAGAACCCCACCAGAGCGTCTCTCAGAGACACCGTCAGGTTCATGTACAGGTCGTCTCCCCTCCTCTCAAATACACCGTGTCTGCAGGACGAGAACGGGAGGAGCGAGATGAGCTAAGGCTGGTCTCTAGTCTTACTGGGTCTTGTACTCTCTGGACAACTGCACTGAAAAACTGACTAAATTTGTCATTACGATCACGCAAGGCCGGTCTCGGGTATAAGGAGGAGTCTGGGGAATAATATTTCCGAGGCTTGCCGACATATGGTTGGTTTCCGCGTCGTACACGGTCACATTGTATTGGTCACATATTGTGGCGAAGATAGAAACGGACGTGACACAGCAATGGGGCACGGGACGATGGGGAAATCCAATGTACTGTGAACCCAGCGGCTGGGTCCAGCCTAGAGTACTACTAACTACTGTTACAAAATAGCGGTGCTAGAAAACAAATTACGTAGTTAGAGAAAGAGGATTAGTGACGTAAGAAGTAAGGTCTTTATCATGTACATATGTAAATAGACTAACTCTAGCGAAAAACGCCTGCCGCCCCTCACATGGGCAAGTCTTGTAATAGAAGGGAAATTTTTGAGAGAGAAGTGGAAATTTTTAGAGGTAAGAGGGAATTTTTTAGAGGGCGAAGGGGGGATTTTTAGAAGATGAAATTTTTAGAGGAAAGTGTTTGGTGTATCGGTGAAGACAGAGCATTCACAAATTACACTAATTATCATCATAGTCCAACAGAAAATTCACATGACATCATTGGTCCCCCTCCCAACCCCAGGTTTACAGAATATATTACTTCTTTGTCTTGATGACCATAATGAGATCTCCAGGCTCTCCATCTATGTGTGGTTCACCTGAACAGTGGAGGGAGACATGGTCAGTATATTGGTCGGGAGGGTAGGGAGGGAGGGAGGGAGAGAGAGGAAGGAGAAGAAATGGAGTACAGTGGAACCTCCGATAAGGGACACTCTGAGATAGGGACGACCTCTCTACGAAGGACACTTGTTTCAACCCCATGCTAATACTTTAGTGTATTATTTGACCTCCGAGATAGGGACGACGAACTCTTTACAAGGGACAAAATCGTTGGCCTCATAGTGTCCCTTGTTCTGAGGTTCTACTGTAATTACAAGAGTGAGTGAGGGAGGGAAGAGGAGAGGAAGGAGAATGGATGAAGACAGTCGTCAGAGAAGTGGAGTGATTGAGGAAGGATGGGGGAGGGAGGGAATTGGTGAAACTCACCTTCAGCGATGAAAGGGTACTGGTAGCCGTCCCTCATTCCAGGCTCAATCTCCATCTCCAGAACTTTCTCCTCCAGAACATACCTATGTAATACATGACAATCACATGACCGTCACATGACTCTCACATCCCATTCACACACACAACCAGTCCCTACTGTGTACAACAGAAGGTACATATATAGCTTCAAACAGAAGACTTACTTCACATTTGGGCATTCCTCGCAGACTTGCTGTGGCGACATCTAAAGAGATTTAATTACTATATACACATCACGGATGACATCAGTATGTAGTGATAAGGGACCCTCTGAGATAGGGACAACCTCTCTACAAAGGACACTTGTTTCAACTCCATGCTAATACTTGTCTTTAGTGTATCATTTGACCTCCGAGATAGGGACGACGACCTCTCTACAAGGGACAAAATCGTTGGCCCCATAGTGTCCCTTGTTCAGAGGTTCCACTGTACTGGGAAACATTTGAGGATGAAAACTGCGGTACGAGTACAGTGGAACCGCTGAGTAATGGACACGTTGGGATCAGGGATTTTTCCTTTATAGTGAGGTTGTCCTCTCCTTGGAGGTTAAAATGTACTAGTTAGACATAATTATGTATAATGATACCTCATTAAAGTGTGTCTATTGTCTCTATTAGGAGTGTCCTTTATAATTATGGCTTGTTTGTCCCATTGTACAAATCCCTGTCTTAAATCGTCTTTGCTCACATCTCCCTCTAAAGTTGTCCTCTATATCTACACTATCAGTGTAAAGACATTTTTGGCGAGCGAACGCGAATGTGAATTTTTTTTACCGGATTTAGAATTACGTAAAGCATGATCGTATCGAGGACAGTGCCCAACGATGACGACATACATAGCAATTCAGGCGACAAGGTAGGCTTGCTTCGCTCGCGCCAATTATGCAGGTTGTATGATAATAATATGGAGGGGACTCACTGTAAATCTGCCCGGTCCAATTTGAGTGGTCTTCATCTCTGTCCTGCAGTTGCACTGCCGAGTCCCGGACGCCGGCTTCGCCACTGGCTTATAGCGAGCAAACTGCACGTTGTACATATATAGTACATATATATATGTAACATGGTGGTCACTGGCTTATAGCGAGCAAACTGCATGTTGTATACAGTACATATATGTAACATGGTGGTCACTGGCTTATAGCAATAAACTGTACATGTGTATGGTAGTGTGTACATGTATGTAACATGGTGTTTATTAGCTTATCGTGAACAAACCCCATGGTTCCAAACATGAACACTAACAGAAGTGGGAGGGCCATACAGCCGACAAGAAACTAAATCTCGTTCTGTGTACCTTGGAGGCTCAAGAAGTCACAACGAATGGCGTGTATCGACTCCCGCATGCTATCTACTACTGTAGCTAGTCCCGGACGCCGGCTTCGCCACTGGCTTATAGCGAGCAAACTGCACGTTGTAATGAAAAGTACTAAAGTGCAAACCCTCGGCACAACATTAGTTCTTTGAACGCATAGAATTTGCAAAATGATGATTAGCTATATAGCTAAAAATAGCATGACAAAACTATCCAGCAAGATCTTAACTTGCAGCATTGGTAGTGCGCTCGGTTTGTCAAGAATGGCTTATACCGCTATGCACGTTAGGCAACATTACGCCCGTGTGACAATACATGCGTGTCAGTCGTGACAAAACTGTAACTGGCTGCAGGTAACAAAACGTGCCCTAACTTCTCAGGTAAGCGAGAATGCGGCTTTTTTGGTCATACCCGACACTTTAATTATTGCATAATATGTATATACACAAAGTGCTCTAAATGGGTGGGACTAATAATGTTACGTGTACATCACATTGTATTAACATGCAATGCTCGCATGTCAGATAGCTTCAACTAGTTAAACAGTCTCACTCAACTCCTCATACTATTGCTCATTTCCTGCTAAACTTGAGAGACAAATGAAGCTGACCTCTATGAATTTGCCAATGTAGAGATCCTCCAGTGAAACTTCCATGTCCATGTGGATGGTTCCCCCGCGAGGAATTTCCCGAGGACCCCCGTCGCCCCCTCCACCGAAATGGAAACGGAACCCTCCGCCCCCGTCAAAGAAGGAACTGTGGGAAAAGGGGAAAAGCCTCCAGCTAACCCACTTTCACTGTGACTCCCAGACTCTATCACTTTCACATTAACAACTAATCAGCCACTAATATCAGTCACAGTTCCACGGTATGCACATGGTGTTTGTGTAGTAACTTGACAAACACACCTGATGAAAATGTGATGAAATGCTTTCACAGATGTGGTTGGCCAGCTAATATAGCACTAAAATATCGGCGTGTTCATAAAAAAATTTCATGCATTTTGCAAGAAGTGTTAAGGTGTATATGATATGCATGTCTCAACAACTTGGTAGCGAGATAGAAAGGCAAGGCAAGGCAAGTCAAGTCAACTACACCCAGGACAGCTCTTCTTAGAAGAAGAGCTGCCCTGGGTGAGATTATAACCCACGGCACTCTGCAGTGTAGGTGAGCGCTCTACCAACTGAGCTACATACTAAGGATCCCCACAACACGTGTTCTCTAATCCACATGGGAAAACTAGGAGGCAGGCCCCAATCAACCCCAGGGGATGTCCAGATTACATCTGCAGCCAAAACTCAGGGCTTGTGTAATCCCCTTGCATTGGTATGCATGGACATGCCAACCGGCACTTTTGGTATTGAGGTGTTTGCATTTGGGCTTGAATTCTTCCATTGGACAAGCATAGAAATATCTGTAACAGCTCAGTAGTGACGTCGTTATGACACGGATGTGCACAGAAATCCCCCTCCCTCCAGCCCAAAACAGCAAGTACGATACTAGCAAGACTACATACCCAAAGCCATGATCTCCTCCACCCTGGTTCTTCAGCCCCTCCTCCCCGTGTCGATCATAGATCTCCCTTTTCTCGTCATCCTGCAGCACCTCGTAGGCGTCGTTGATGTCGTGAAACTTTGTGACTGCGTCTGGGTTGTCCGGATTCTTGTCAGGATGGTACTTGACTGCCAGTTTCCTGTAGGCCTTCTTGATTTCACTGGTAGAGGCACTCTTGGAGACGCCCAGTATCTGGTAGAAGTCACGTCTGTGTACATACGGCAGTGAGAGAAGGATAAAACGCGTGTAAAGTGGTTGAGCTATTGTCTTCGTTGTAAAGCTAACCCTGCGAGGACAAACACTAGACAACTCCATAGGAGAATAAGGACGGCCGCGCTCTCTAGTAAGAGCCTCATAGCCCAAGAGATCGTCTTCTCTCTCCAGGACAGAGATAAGCCGCAAAAGTTTACTGTGTCCGGCCGGGTCCGTGGGGTTTACACGTGGGGAGCGTTGATTGGGTATATTCGTCACGTGATTTATCTATTGCGTCATAGTCTATAAGAGCAGAAAAACATAAACCGAGAACTCAACTAAACTCCTCAACAAAAGACAAATCGTGAAGGCCTGAACTAAAAGCTTCTGATATGGAGACGCCAGCAGACTTCCCTGTCAGTGTGGCCTTGTCCGGTGGGCGCCGGCAAGAGGTGCGCGTCGGCCGCTCCACGACCTGGGACCAGTTCGTACAAATGGTGAGAGAGAGCTGTAGGCTTGAAAAGGCAGTGCTGTGTGTGTAGCGCAAAATCATGATCGGGTAGGGCGTTGGTAGACTCAACCGTTATATGGCGTCGCCCGGAGCGAGGATACGTGTACACAGGCTGACTATGACCCACAGTGACACGGGTGGTAGGTGTTGGTTGATTCTGCCCTTCATTGGATAGAACTGGCTGGATATTAGTGAGCATGTTGGGACAACGAGGGGGGGGCTTTTGAGTGTTTATATATATGTGCCACACGCTACACAGGGTGTTTAGTATGGTGTGACTCTAAGGCAAATTCTCTCATTATTTTGTACTTCGCCAACATTGTATGGTTTTCTGTGCCATTGATGAGCTGCAGTGTTTCTTTGTATGGGTGTATATACATGTGTATCCATTGTGCAGAGCCTTTTCATACCCTCTTTTGTGAAACATGTCTACTCAGCAGGCTAATGAGTTTTCCCTATTGCCAGGAAACCTGTGAAATTTGATCAGTATTCCTGGAGGAATCATGTTGTAACTTCCTTTACCTACTCTCCTCTGTCCCCACCATAACCTTATATATCCACACTTGCCGCCTCATTTGTCACTCCCCAGGCTCACAGTATAGTGAGTAGGTCTTCCATATATGTGCATGTACATACACTTTGGAGTATATCTGTCACTTGTTGCTCCCCCAATGATCTCTATTACAACCCCCTAATGCATTCTTTGTTGGTTTATTGAGAAACATGATGATGCTGTACATTGTCTGTGGGTTCAGGGTGTTGTCGGGTCAAGGTTTAGGTCGACCAAGTCAGCTTCAAGCACATGCAGATTTAGTTACGACTACTGAGTTTAGAAATGCTTTGAGGACCCCCAAGTGCACCTGTGTGTTGCTGTTTTACCTCCAGATTATCAGACTCAGCTATGTTATGTGTTTACTCGTAGCCATGCATCTCTGTGGTTTGTTTCACGCTAGCATCTGGGGTTTGTTTACAACTACATAGTACTATAATGTACAGTGTCTGAGGTTTGTATGTGGAGTGGAAGTAATCTTTGGTGGGGCCCCCTCTTAACCGTTTGGACACCATGGGTATCTTAAGTATTAGTGCCTAGTATTATGACCCCATGTACATGGACTTATGGACACATTTATGTGTTGTGGCTGGTTAAGTGTTAATCATCAAACAGTGTTTGAGGCTGTGCAGCATCTGGGGTTTGTAGTAGACATTGAGGTTTGAGTGGAAATCTTTTTTTTTGGGGTGTCCCCCTAATCATCAAGGCTTGTGATGCTTTACTATCCCACCTAAGCTGGGACAGCTCTAGTAGTGTTGTGGTGTTTGCCTTTTTGCTTTGCCTTTGAAATTGTTACTGAGACATGTGCGAGTGTTTGTCTTCTGTCTTCTGTCTGTACTTACAGGTCCACCTGGCATATGGACTGCCAGCTGGTACAGTGAAATACATAGACGAAGAGGGAGACAAGATCTCTTTGGACAGCGAGGGTGAGTAATAAGACACTGCAGAGGGACTATAGCACTATTCGATATAGTACACATGTCCTTTTGTCCCTGCCTCGTGAACTTGCCTTTGCCTTGTGACCTCATTGATGCTTACATACATGCATACCAGTAGAGTACACTGTACATACACTTTGGCAGTTGTCTAATTGGAAGTGTGCAGGTGTAGCCAGCAGTACCAGGGTTGCCAACAGTGACAGTGCTGTCTATGTGTGTGTGTGTGTGCGAAATCATTGTGGCATTTGTGTAAAGTCCATTCATTACAACACATGTAGTGAATGTCAGTTTGGGGTCATGTGACTACTGTGACATCACTTGTACTAATTTTAGAACAGCAGCACATATAAGTTACAGTATAGGAACAAACCGTAGTAGCATCTCTGGTGTAGGTACGTGTCTCCTTGCTCTGTCTATATATATGTTACAGCTGAGTTTAAAGAGGCAGTCAACGTTGGATTCAAGTTGGGAAAAGCTCAAGTTGAGCGTTGCAGACAACAAGGTATGTATGTTGTACTGTGTGTGGCTGTCAAGGGGATAATAAAAGAATGGTGCTGTGGTGGAGATGTTTAGAGCTAAACATGTCACAGCGGTTGGTACGAATGTCATAAGGAATACAGTTCAGTTTGCAGTACATGTAGATCTCTTGCCGTTGACATGTCCTGTACATGTACTCTGTAGTATAATATAAGGCTTTGAGAAGAACAGAGCTCTCCTGCAGCAATGGGCAGAGGGGTCCAAGCTTCTATTCTGTTTTCCCTCCTTGCCCTGCTCCCATGCCCCCCTCCACCTCCCTCCAGGCATATCCACCCCAGAGAACTGACCCACAACAGACCCCACCACTACCCCCGAGAACGATTCTCAGAGCCCCGAGAACCGACAACAGACAGCAGCGGGGCGGCGGCTACTACTCTCAACTAGCTCGAGTCGTCGGAGAAGACAAGGCAAAGGCAGACACACCAGCTCCCACCACCACCACCACCAGCACCACCAACAACAACCCTTACATTTCAACCTTTGTTCGCAGCATGTTGACCGAGGCAGACAAGAAGGGAACGTCTCCCTCGAGCAAAAGTGTGCCCAACACCCAGCCGTCTGCCACTCAAGGAACAGAGAAAACCGGCAGCAACCCTTACGTGTCCAGCTTCATTCGCAGCGTGTCCCAGGAAGGAGGGAGTTGTCTGGCTACTGCCTCTCCAGCTAAAAGTGGCTCCAAACGCCAACCGTCTACCGGCATACGAGACAGCCCCATCTCTGAGGGAGTCGACGACGGATCAGCAGCCAAGAAACCCAGGTTCTATGCAACCACCCGGACCAGAGGCTACAGAAAGGCTCTTAGAGAACCTCCAAGAGTCGAGAAAGTCTGCAAGGACGTGGAACGGATGGATATATCCTCGACGGGGAATCCGTACGTTGACAGGTTTGTTCGTGGACTGAGCGAGCGTCCAGTTGGCCGTGAACTTTCGGCAAAGCGTGGGCTCTCGTCCTCCTCCCCCAAACTGCACCAGGTGTACATGAACCCCTACGTCGCTGGATTCTACAAAAGACGCTGTGTCTGTGAGGCCAGTCGACCCAACATCTACGTCGCCCAACTCCACCGCAGGTATATGCCTTGAGCACCACTGCCCACTGTTCAGCATTAGTGAGCCAATTTGTATAGATTTCCGTTTATATGAAGTATGTTTGTTTAGTGCATAGCTGGTTTAAATCGAGCAATCTGATTAGTCCACACGAGGTACTTGAACTATATAACTTATATGCAGTCTTCAGCATAGTGTGAAATGTTCAATACAACATTCTGTACACATCTATAATGCTTGTGTTTGACTGTATATACAGTATGAGTCACAAAAAAGTAAACGAAAGTAACGTTACTTCGAAGTAAGGTTACCGTAAAGTTACGTTACTTGAAAGTGACTCAAAGTTACTAACTAGTAACCTGAGTGTAACTTCAGAGTTACCACAAAGTAACCTGAACGTAACGAACTAGTAACCCGAGCGTAACTTCAGAGTTACCAACTAGGAAGCAAGCTGAAAGTAAACTTGGCGGTACACCAACGTTACCTAAGCGGCCCATGTTCCACGCATCACACTCAGCCAATCTTCACGGAAGAATGTGTAGCTTACGGTCTGAGTGTCCGCTGTAGATCCTCGGGCTACATGTCGCTCCCCAGCAGACGGTACAGCGCTGCCCGATAGCTCGGGAAGACGCGCGCGAAGAACCACGAGGCTGGCCGGCCCCGGCCCAGCTCAGCCACGCCCTCTCGACCCGGAAGCACGCGTCTCGCGCGCTGCAGAGTCGCGCTAGAGCCGCGGCTAGGCCGTCGGTCGCGAACTGGAAGGCGCGGCCGCGTTACCCAGTGGAGCTAGCCGTGTGTAGACCGAGCGCAACCAAAGAAAAGTTCACAGTAAGGGGACAGAACTAAGGGCCAGGGCTAAAGACCTTGTTACTTCAGCGTTACTCCACGATAACCTTACAGTGACTAGAAAGTTACTACTCGGTAACTTTACAGTGACTTCAGAGTTACTCCTGAGTAACCTTACAGTGACTTGAAAGTTACTGAAGGTTACTAGATAGTTACTAACGCGTAAGTAACTTCGCAAGTAACGTTACTTTCGTTTACTTTTTTGTGACTCATACTGTACAAGTGTCAACACTACTTACGTGCATGCCAGCCTATATATATCATGTCTGTGTGTACGTGACAACCACTCGTATTCCATATACGGTATGTGTGTTCTTAAATGCAGTCTGTCTGAAGATCAAATTTCCAAGAGAGCTCATGAGGATGTACAGACAAAAGTCCCCAAAGAAACGAAAATGGTAACACTGCATTCCATGGTTGTGTATATATGGAGCTGTGTATACATTGTAGGTATATGTATTACTTAGAATCCAGGCTGGAGAGGTTTAGCAGAAATCCACTCGAACATTATTCATACCCCCTTGGGCTACGCCCTGGGGGGGGGGGGGGGACATGAATAATGTTCTCGTGTATTTCCTGCTAAACCAGACAGTATCTGGGTTCTTAGCAACTTGTACCACGGAAAAGTCCTAGAATATACGGAGCCCGCCATTTCAGAGCCGTTTTCCGGATAGTAGTCACGTGTTCTGTAATGAGCATCTCGCTGCTACTGGAGCTACCGACAGACACGGAGAGCTGGGGCTGTGAAGGGGCCGAGCCTTTTTGTCTCGCTATGGCCGACATGTGTGGTTGTTGTGGAGGAGGGGCCGAAAATGTACCGCCCAACAACAAAACGCCTGTTCCGACCTCCGCGCCCAAGCCCAAGAAGCTCAAACTTTCGTTGCAGAACCCTCGGTTTGAACGCGTAAGTGACGAGGATATGTCTACAATTTGCAAGGGTATATACCTCCGAACACCGCAAAAAATACAAAGTGGAATGTTAGCATTTTCAATGAGTGGAAGTCTGCTCGAAATAACGCTAGCGCCGGCGAAGAAGAATGCCCCGACAACCTTCTAGAGCATCCTGAAGTCACTGGCTTTGCCGTGAAAGTAAGAGCAACCTGAGACCTGCAGACCTGCTCTGATTATGATATTGCATCCTGTTACTAAGTGTATATCGGTTCCTGTGCGGTGCCTTTCATCTTATGGCTTCCCGTGGTACAAAGTATAAATAATGTATTATAGTGTTGTGTCAAAGGGGGTGGACAGACTAGACCTGTGGAATCTAGAATATGACCACAACTCCTTTGTTGGATTGTGTGTATAATTATGCACTTGTGTGATATTGTATGGCTGTGCATGCTTCCAAGAACAGTGGGAGAGTAAGTATTGCGCAACTTTTGGTGAACATGTGGGCTGTTTAGACGAACCAATTTGTCAGGAATGGTATCGCTACAAAATCCAGCCACTCGCTTCACCCCTTTCTTTGAATGTGGTAGAAGCTGGGCGATGCTCCCACCCTTTCTTTGAAGGTTGTATAATCAGTGCTACCCCCCACTTCTGTGGCTGACTGCTTTACACACAGGTTACCTCTGGTACCTCTGGTGTGTTGGGTTATTATTTTCAACAACTTTGGTGCTGGTGATGATCATAATAGTTCGAAACGTCCTAGCTCTACAAGAAGTTGTCTGCTACTGAATGCTCAAATATATGTATAGCGCAAGTGTATAGTTATATAGTTGTATGACATAGTTCAGGACAATAATTGTCAGGAATCACTAGATTGCCCATTCTTGTGATATACATGTAGTTTAGTGTTCACTAAGAACTGTGGTGTGTGCCGTGCTATGTAGCTCTCTATCTCTCTGTCCCAGGAGATGAGTGAAGACCCCGGCCTCCCACCAGAGACGGGACCGGTCCACTGTGGTATCATGTGTGACGGCTGCCGACAGTGCATCATCGGAGTCCGCTACAAGTGTGGGTAAGTGTCTCCCTTTTGACCGGTACACCCTACAAAACAAGTGATGCCTCAGTCATCGTGTACATACAGTATAATACGTATAATGCTTCAGAGCTTAAGGAGTAAAGGACAATATCCCGTGTGCAAAAATCTACACATACGGGCCCAACTCTGTACTTATAGCTATAGCTTATGCATTGTAATGTCCCAGGGGTCTTCCTTAAGCATTTTAAAGCAATCATAGACAATGCAACACTTTATTGTGTGAGTCAAACAAACCTGCAATCAGCAATAGAAATCATGCAACTTTGTTGTATGGTCTGTCATACCCTGTACCTTTGAAGTTGAAGTGGGTTCATTTTGAAGATGTAACGAGAACTCTGTGAATTTTAATGAACCGCTGTCTCTCTCACCACTGGGTGTGTGCATGTGTGTGTGTCACAGAAACTGCAGGGACTATGACCTGTGTGAGCGCTGTGAGCGGGCCTCGGACCAGATCCATTTCCCCGAGCACCTCTTTGTGAAGGTGAAGGTCCCGTGCCAGTGGCTGGGACGAGATTCCTCCGGGTTTATGAGACCTCTGCTTCCCTACGTCGCATACTGCCCTCGTGACGACATGAGGTACACACACTCCATCTACTGACTTGCTCAAACCCACTCAGTAAGACACATACACTCCCCTTGTGTTTGAAGACCCTACGTCGCATACTGCCCTCGTGACGACATGAGGTACACACACTCCATCTACTGACTTGCTCAAACCCACTCAGTGAGACACATACACACTCCCCTTGTGTTTGAAGACCCTACGTCGCATACTGCCCTCGTGACGACATGAGGTACACACACTCTATCTACTGACTTGCTCAAACCCACTCAGTGAGACACATACACTCCCCTTGTGTTTGAAGACCCTACGTCGCATACTGCCCTCGTGACGACATGAGGTACACACACTCTATCTACTGACTTGCACAAATCCACTCAGTAAGACACATATATACACTCTCCTTGTGCTTGAAGACCCTACGTCGCATACTGCCCTCGTGACGACATGAGGTACACACACTCTATCTACTGACTTGCTCAAACCCACTCAGTGAGACACATACACTCCCCTTGTGTTTGAAGACCCTACGTCGCATACTGCCCTCGTGACGACATGAGGTACACACACTCTATCTACTGACTTGCACAAATCCACTCAGTAAGTCACATGCACCACCTTAGAGTTTGAATGTGAATGTAGCCCTAGCTGTAATGGCTACTATATATACTACTCCACTGACTTGCTCAAACTCACTCCATGAGAGACATGCACTTCCTAGTGTTTGGATCAAGTGGGCTATGGCCGTATTGCCTTTTACAATGCAACCAATCATGCTCTGTACATGATCTGTTTTGTCACCCTTGCAATCAGTAAAAATAGATCATCTAACACTATCCAGGGATTCTTTACAGCATGTTAATTTGAGGCTGGAAGCTTAATGACTGCCAATATTTCCGTCGCTGTGTATTGACGCGAGATGGTGTGTATTGTGCTAACCTTGCAGTGAGGACCAGATGCCTCTGCTGGGGTCGGAGGTCGGAGGTGGCGAGGTCATAGTCCGCCCGAGGGAGAAACTGCGTGAGGAGATAAAGGCCGCCAAGAGACGGAGGAAGGAGGAGAAGAGGAGACTCAAGGAGAGTCGTGGCGGGAGAGAAGAGCCAGTCGACCCACGTCAAACTGACAGCCAAGCTTGAGAAACTCCAGAGGAGGAAGAACCATGTCGAGGGGAAGACGACAGAGTTTGTGGTTCCAGCTGTGACCTTCGAGGCACCCAAAACCTCCAGTGATACCACCCAGAAACCAGCCAAGTAGGTGTTTCCTTAATGCTCACACAATTATATAATCACTACATTAACATGTCCCTTTCTCCTCCCTGAATATGTTTTGCAACTTTTATAGGTACATGTATGCTGTTATTGGAAGCATCTAAATGTGTTTCTATGGGCTGATTGAATAGCTAAATCTCTTGAGCTACCTACCTACTACTAGCTCTGCTATGCCCACACATTAGTCGGTACACCTTATGACTGACAACAATGTACACACGTGCGTTTTTATGGACTGATTTCGTTCCTCCACTGTGTGACTGATGCTATCGATGTTCTGCCGCTGTTTTATCTCTTCGTTTCACTTGCCCTTTGTGCCAAAGTTTTTACACACTACTCAACAACAGTATTACATAGTAGTCCATTGTATGAAACTGAAGGCAGTGTTTATCACTTTTGTACACGTGTACTCCGTTACACAGGTACTTGGATTGCAAGCTGGTGACTGAAACGTGCTGTCCTCATGGCATGTCCATTCCACCCGGAGTAAAGGTCAGTCTATTGCACACTGTTACGTAATACACCGATTCCTGTCCACCAGTGGGGGGAATACTACATATCAGTCATTGCTTGTGCAAAATAGAATTAACACTTTCATGTACTAAAATCTTTTTACTAGGAATACTTGTCTTCGTGTATTATAATATCATGCGCTGCAATTAGATTTTTGCTGCATGTCAACAACAAGGTCAATATCAAGCGTAGACAAGCAAATCAACTACATCCAGGACACCTTTTTACAAGGAAGAAATAACTTCCCTCTGACCTGAGTACAATTCATTGCTATCCTCACAGTTTGAAAAGGGGTGGATTCTGAGGAACAACGGTACCAAAAAGTGGAAGCACACCACCCTCGTCCACCAGGGCGGCTACAGACCGGTGCGGTCCGAGGTGACCATCCCGGAGATAAAACCGGGGGAGAGCGTGGAGGTCAAGGTGCAGTACCCTCCAGTCAGCGCCAAGGAAGTCATTCAACACATTGAGAGGTGAGGGATTTGGAGAGAGATGAGAGAAAAATTAGCCAGTTAGTAGAAAATTTTGCTACGGTATCACCGTACTACAGGGGCGTAGTGGGAAGTTTTTTTTGGCGTGTACTGTACATGGTGGAGGTGGTGGGAAGGGGGAAGTTGAAACTGGGAGTGGGGGAGCATTAGGCTCTCTTAACATTGTTCAGCTCTCTGCCGAGTACTGTCAGTGTTTTGCAGGGCTTTTCACGAGCAGAACACACATTCTTTTGCTAACAGCCTACCTACCTACCTACCCAGGGTTTTTGCCAGTTAAGAATGTGCATGTCCAAGCATCATGTAGAGGCGCTCCATGTGTTCATTCACTAAAATGCGTCGCATTTTCATGGTCAACCAAAAATGCTCTTTTTCTCCCCTCTCTGAACTTGCAGCACCTGGAACCTCATCCACAAGGAATGCACTGCTTTTGGTCCCACTCTCGCCGTCTCTGTCATCATCGAGCCTCTCAGGACCACACCCCCTTCCGCCTCCCATGCCCCTCCCACCACTGACACCCAGACTCCGCCCTCGTCGTCTGCTGCCAACGACGACCTCCAGCAGAGTATCGGGTTTCTCCCGGACGACACCTCCATCCCGTCGTACCCCGACTTTGAGGTGGTCCCTCTAATCAGTGAGGAGATCCCTGGTTACCCCCAGGAGGGGGCCGGAGAGGACTCTATCCAGCCGGCGTTTGTGATGGTGGAGAATCCGTGTTCTGAGGTGATGAGCCTGTCCTCCACCGACAGTCTCTACCACACCTCCAGCCAACCTCCTCCCCCTCCTCGTGATGGTGATGGTGTGTTGACCCCTCCTGCTGCTTGTGATAGCGAAGGTATGGTGCATACTGTCCACATTAGCTTTGATACGCAGTTAGCATGGTGCGGCTGTTCATGTAGGTTTCATTACAATGCAGTTGTGTTAGTATATTGTAGTGACAGCACTGACACATGTATGTACTTTGACTACGCCTTTCAAGTAAATACAGTAGTGGAGCCCTGCTCTACAGGCACCCATCCCTCTAATAAGGGCATTACCAACATAAAAAAGATGCTAGTGCAGTTCATTGTCTGTTCGGTTCGTAGTTGTCTCTGCCTCTATATACTAACAATGTGTGCATGTAACAACAACAACAAGGTGGCAAGGCAAAAGGCAGTACATGACAGTAAGGTTGATTCTCGTCTCGTAACTCTCCCTCTCACAGAAGAGACGGACAAGGAGAGCGGAGATAGTGAAGGGTCTGACTCTGAGGATGACTTTGTGGTGGTCATCCCAGACTGTTTCAACCTGGACATCCCTCTCTCCTCCCACTCTGCACCACACTCCGTGACACACTCTCGCGGTGACTTTGACCTCACGGGCACCTCACCCGGCCCCGCCCCCACCACCGCCACTGCTGCCGATGATGTAATGACGAGGTCGTCAGACTCCACTCCATCCCCGTTCCAGCCGCCGGTCCCACACGTGGACCCCGGACAGCAAACTCCACCCACCGCTGCCGTACCCAAGACGACAGGGGCTAGCCCACAGACGGAGCGACGTCAGTTTGTTCCTTCACGGGTGACCCTGCGTGAGGTGAAGGACGCGAGGATCAGGAATCCGCTGACGATGGCCACCGGGCTGGTGAACACTGTCACTGACCTGGTGGAGGGGCTGACTCTGGCGGGGAAGAAGAGAGAAGGGAGGAGGGGGGAGGAGGGGGGACAGCAGCACTGTCACCCACCACCAGTACCAGACGAGGAAGAAGAGGAGAGATTTGTGGTGAGCGGCTCTTTCTATGTGGGCAGCTGTCGGGAGCTACATGTATAATTATATATTCTTGTATACATCTCGTGGCAAAATGGCAAAATGAGCAACAGTAGAAGGGAGGTAGTCTGTCTTTGCTAAGGACCCAAAGCCACACATGGTCTGGAGTATTTGCCCTCACACTTGTCACCCACGGCTTGAACTTCTCCGTATTGCGATAATGACTCTAGCTATGTATGTTGTGCGGGAAGTTTGCCACACATACATACAGTGTCAAAGCAACAGTGTCAAAGCAACAGTTCGGCATTGGGTTTGTGGAGATCGTAACACCTTGTCTGCCTGACCCACTGTAGGATTGCCCAGAGCCATCAGCTCCCCCGGCAGGAGACCCAGCAGAGGAGATGGCCGACCCAGCCGAGGGTGAGACTGGGAGTCCCTGTTCACGTCGTGGCAGCAGTGTCTCCCTATGTGTCACCACGTGGCTCCAACCCACCAGCACCGACGTCGCCCAGTTTGTCCGCAGCAACAGCCAGAACGTGAGATATGACCGTGTAACACCCAACTCTAGCCCATTATAGTAGCACACAATAGTCCAACTCTAAATAGTACTAGTCAAGTGCCCATACCAAGTTGCATACACATACAATTGGCTTTCCCCCTCATTGGTCTCCGGAAATTGGAAATTCAACTTGGTCGTCGTTCTTTTCTGTGTGAATGTATATACTAGCAGATCTAACCACATTTGCCTAATTTCCCTTTGTATTTAGAGGTGAGGGTTCTTATCACCTAAACTCCTCTCTCTCTCCTACACACATACACACACATACACCCAGGAGGAAGAGTTAAGGGGGATGATGGAGCGAGAGTGGAAGGCCCCAGACCTGCCCGATGACCCGGTGGAGAGACTGGTGGCCATGGCATAGTGCGGTAACAGTGAACAATATACAGGCAGCAGTGCTGTGAGAAACACAACTACCAACTCCAGGTGCATACATACATACATACAATGTATCTTACACTATTATTTCCAGTATACATTCTAGCTGTAGTGTCTGTAACATCAGTCTGCCGTCTGAAACTTTACATGTTTGCTTTTGTTCATTCTTCCATAGTTTCATGCTGTTTTTTGCCCTACAGTAGAACCTCTGGATAAAGGACACAATAGGGGAAAAAAACCTCAGGGCACACTTTGAGGTCCCAAACGTTCGATTACCTATTATTCTAGTTTCCTCCAGCGTCTAAGCGTCCACAGTCCATTCCATTATTCGAGGAGGTTGTCCACTGTAACAGAGATTCAATGATCAGCTTCTAGTTTAGCTTCGTGTTGTAAATTGTGTTGGCTATAAGAGGGCCAGTATGACAAAGCTCTCCTACAAATCTGCCAACACCACATCCGAACGCGGTGACTGAACGAGTTGACTGGAGGTCTCCAGACAGCAACGTGGAGACACAAAGAGACAACACTGTGCCTCAACCAGCACTGAACCTGACATCTTGCACTCTCTCACCCACCAAATGAACAAGACTCCTACTCTAATTGCTGTTGAACTACAATGTGTTTTTGCCTTGCTGTTGTAGATTCGAAGGACGCTATTATCTAATCGTGCAGAACTTTAAGCTATACCAACTTGTCTTCTGTAAATCATTGTATGTATTTTATGTATTTTAATGTTGAACGCTGAACGCTGAAACTCAAAACATGTCGAGAGGGAGCAGTGCATGCTGCTGTGCTGAACTAGCTTCCTCTAACTCCACCAGAACTCCACCACAGTCTTTGGGATGTAGGAACACCACCGGCTTCCCATGGGCTCCTATCTACGAGAAAGAAATATCCCTTGATTACAGAATAAACAATTTTCCCCCATGAAATTCTTGTTTGCCAAACAGAAGCCTACTTTTCTCCTACAGTGTATAGACAGTATAGTGTCATGCAGGGTTTACAGTTAGGGTCTGCAGTGGGGGCAGGGTGGGAATGTCAATATGAGTTCATTCCTGGCCTACCATGTGTTCAGGGGTGAGGGTTCTGATCTTCCCCTGGAGACTTTGAATTGCCTTCTTGATGTCATCTACCTGTGTGGATTAACAACCAACACTACCAAAGTGCCCATGCGTAGTTCTCATGTCTCTACTGTCCTGCAATAGTTCCACCAATAGGGTCATTTATCAGTCACACATGTAAAAGAGGCTGGCTTCTGAGGAAAAATTCACAAACTACTGAATAGTTAACCTCTAGACAGATGTGGTGCATCCCTCCTCCTGGTTTCTTGTCTAGGAAACCTTGGATGGGGCTCTTCTCGCCCAATGGATGGAGCAGCTGAGAGATAGAACATCCACAGTGAGTAGCTATATTATTATAGGATGGAGACGGCTATGTAGGCACCGTACCTCCAACTTGGTGTTGTCCAGTTTGACAAAGACAGTGTAGACTCCGTGATCTGGCAGAGGCTGGAATAATAATTGGACGTAAAAATGATGTAAGGATGATTGTTTCATTCTTAGTATGCCTATTATATATATGTGTGTGTTAT